ATGGTACGATGATTGGAATATTGTTATTATTGTTTAGTGGGCGTGGATTGATGTAATAGATTTATGCTAGATTATTTCGGGGCGTTACATTGGATGGGAGTTAGAGCTGAAAACACCTTAAATTTAGTCGAAAAAGGGCATTCAGGGCTTGAAAATGCAAAACAACCTCTGAACCACTACATGGATGTCACGGGTAGCATCGTCGTGAAAAATAGAACTTGTGGCAACAGACGACACGTAATTAGCATGCGTTGGTTGGAGTTAGAGCCGAAAACGCCTTAAACTTAGTCAAAAAAAGACGTTCGGGGGCTAAAAACGCAAAACAGCACCCCGACCACTGTATGCATGTCACGGCCAGCTTCCTTGTGAAAAAATTGGATCTTCCGCAACAGGCGGAATGTAATTAGCACGCATAGGATGGGAGTTAGAGCTGAAAACGCCTTAAACTTGGTCGAAAAAAGGCGTTCGGGGGGCAAAATGCAAAAGAGCCCCCGAACCACTATATGGATGTCACGGGCAGCATCCTTGGGACAAATAGGACCTGTGGCAAGAGACGGAATCTAATTCGCACACCTAGGATGGAAGTTAGAGCCGAAAACGCCTTAAACTTAGTCGAAAAAGGGTGTTTAAGGGGCGAAAATGCAAAACAGCCACCAAACCACTATATGGATGTCATGGACAGCATCCTCATGACAAACAGGACCTGTGATAGCAGACAGCGTGTAATTAGCACGCGTAGGCTGGGAGTTAGAGCCGAAAATGCCTTAAAATTAGTCGAAAAAAGGACGTTCGGGGGCCTAAAACGCAAAACAGCCCCCGACCACTGTATGCATGTCACGGCCAGCTTCCTCATGAGAAATAGGACCTATGGCAACAGACAAAATGTAATTAGCACGCGTAGGTTGGGAGTTAGAGCTAAAAATGCCTTAAACTTAGTCGAAAAAGGGTGTTCGGGCGGCGAAAACGCAAAACAGGCCCCGAACCACTTTATGCATGTCATGGGCAGCATTGTCGTGACAAATAGGACTTATGGCAACAAATGGCATGTAATTAGCACGCGTGGGTTGGGAGTTAGTGCCGAAAATGCCTTAAACTTAGTCGAAATGGGGTGTTCAAGGGGTGAAAATGCAAAATAGCCCTTGAACCACTGTATGCATGTCACGGCCAGCTTCCTCTTGACAAATAGGACCTGTGGCAACATACAGCATGTAATTAGCACGCGTAGGTTGGGAGTTGGAGCTGAAAACGCTTTAAACTTAGTCGAAAATGGGGCGTTCAGGGGCGAAAACGTAAAACAACCCTCGAACCACTGTATTCATGTCACGGCTAGCTTCCGTGTGACAAATAGGACCTGTGGCAACAGACGAAATGTAATTAGCATGTCTAGGTTGGGAGTTAGAGCTGAAAACGCCTTAAACTTAGTCGAAAAAAAAAACCATATGTGATGATTAAATTCTACATCAAATAAAAAGGTCGATGAAGTGTTGACCTTGTCAGTATTTTGAGTTAAATTTTATGATGTAGTTTTGAATTTGGTATGGAATAGGCTACTCAAAATTACAAGTGTACTTTGCCCTTCATTATGTTATGAGACTCTATATTTCACGACAAAGCTACAAACTGTTGGGGGCTAAAATAGCTGCAGGTTCATAGCATTTTCTTGTAATTTGTGTTAGCATTTTCCTGTATGTTATGGGTTGATATCTGAGCAATAGGGTGCACACTGTGCACATTAACTAGTAGGCTTTGTTTTCCCGCCCTTGGTAGTAGTTAATTGTATGGAAACTTCTATTTCTGTGTGTGTGTGTGTTTTTTTTTTTTTTGGGGGGAGGGGTTTGCTTATGAATGGAACGATACTCTGTCTCTGTCTCTCTCTCTCTCTCTCTCTCTCTCTCTCTCTCTCAACTTGAAAGATTAGCCATATTCAAACCTTGTTCAACACCCATGTTTTGCCAAAGGGAACCCCGATTTCGTCATTCACTTTTCCCTTAGTTCATCACATTTATGCTTTGTTTTGCTATACACAGTCCACATTAGATCATCACAAGTACATATCCCCCAACAATTTTCTTTAATAGACTTTCAATATAACTTCACTGTAAATTCTCTCTCTCATATACATGTAGTTTTTGATATTCATTATCAGTGTGTGAATGGCATTTACTTGCAGAATCATATATGTAGATAGGCACAACATGACATGAAAAAGAAAATAATAGATTTTCAATTTTCAGAAACTACAGCCTTGTTTGTTTGGATAGGCTAAATCAGGCTTTATGGATTGAGACTTATTTCAACTTTTAGAAACGCAAAGGCACCTTGTTCGTATGGGATAAAATGAAAATAAAATACATCAGTTATATGTTATTGATGATAACAATTCTACATGATATGGATGTTGATTATCCTTAGTTACTATTTTCCGAATCTAATTAATGCACTCATGATGTAAACAAAGATAAGCATCGTAGTGGAGAGTAATATTGATACTTTTAGAAACGCAAAGGCACCTTGTTCGTATGGGATAAAATGAAAATAAAATACATCAGTTATATGTTATTGATGATAACAATTCTACATGATATGGATGTTGATTATCCTTAGTTACTATTTTCCGAATCTAATTAATGCACTCTTTCACTGTATGATGTAAACAAAGATAAGCATCGTAGTGGAGAGTAATATTGATTGATTAACTTGTGTTCTTTTGTCAATGGGGAATTAATTTCAAACTTGAAACAAGTGCACATTCATGATACATATATTTATCCAAAAAAAAAAAATCTTTCATGGTACGTATATATGATTTTATATCCAAAAAGGCTTTTAGAGGTTGAACTTAACTTAATAGCATGTTAAAAACTTTTTTGTATGGCTGATTCAACTCAGATTTTCTAATGGGTGCATTTTATTTATTTATTTATTTATTTTTGTTTTTGTTTTTGTAGATGGCTTTTGGTGTGGACTTGTGAATATTCCATTTATGTGTATGGAGGACAATTTATACTTTTGTATATTCTTGCTAATTTTGTTGTCTGCTACTTTTGTGTAGATTACTATTACTCATACAGATAACTTTTGGCATCGAACTAGTACTTACTGGCATGGTATATAGATTACTTTTTGTCATCATACAAATTATGACAGTAATTTGTACCACGCCAAATGGCCATTTGGTATGATAGTAAATATATTTTTTGTATACAGAAGGATTGATTTTTGTATGTTTCTCTGTTTTGTATGGAATTATTATTTTAGTTTGGACTATAGTTAGTTTGTATGGAATTTAACATTTAAAGTTATTCCTTTTTGGATAGTTTGAAGTGAAATAAATGCAGATTGTGGAATGACTGATAATATATGTATTGTTTTGTTTATATACATACTACAGGTTGTACGGAATACATACAGGTTGTGGAGAAATTATAACTTTCAGAGAAAACATATAATCATGTTTTTGGCTTGATATGACAATTCGTAGTGAAAAAGGAAATTCATGTTTTACCGACTAAGTAGTTAGTAGCTAAAAAAAGATAATGATAAAAGCTTTTGGCGAGCCAAAAAATGATTAGATTTTAGGCGACTGAACTGTTTAATAGTTGAAAAAAATAAGATGCACGACAAAAGATTTTTGACGACTAAAAGTTTAGGAAAAATCGTCAGATTTTTGGTGACTAAAAACTTAGTAGCTAAAAGTCAATTAGACTTTAGGCAACTAAAATATTTAGTAGTTAAAAAGATAAGTTGGACAACAAAAACATTTTTGGCGATTAAAAGTTTGCAGAGAAAAAGTGAGATTTTCAGCAACTGAAATATTAGTAGCCAAAAAGTAATTAGCCTTTAGGTGACTACAATATTTAGTAGCTAAAAACATTTGTGGCGACTAAAAGTTTAGTCAAAAACAATCCGACTTTACGCGATTAATAAGTTTAGTATTTTAAAAAAATAGGATGAACCCAAAAAAAAATTATTCAGCAACTAAAAATTTAGTAACTGCAAATGTGATATTTAATTTTATTTCAATGCTTTTGGTGACTAGAAAAATAGTTGGCAATTTACTACTTTTGGCGACCAAATTTGTTTTAGTCGCCAAAAGTGATGACCTTATCGCTGCGTAATAGAAATTAGTCCCAAGCTGCATATTCATTGCAATTTTCAACTATATGCAGTCAAAAGTCAAGCTTGTTTTTTGTTTCCTTTCATAAAAACATTGGCCATCGGAGTTGGTTCTTTAACCCTTTTACGTTGGTTGTATGCAAAATAGGGTTATATAATTGTTAATAGATTAATGCAACTGTTAATTGATTACATACATGCATATTTTTGTTTCTACACTCCCTTTAATTCTGCAATTGCATCTTTTCAGATATGATTTTCGTAAACACATTGGCCATAGAATAATGCAACTGTTAATAGATTACACGCATGCATATTTTGTTTCTACACTCCATTTAATTCTTCAATTGCATCTTTTCATTTGTGATTAAGTTTATTGAAATATGAAATGGTCGACTTAACGTCGCCTTCCCTTAAGTAATGCATCTACATTAATTATGATCGAACAGTGAGACCCAACTTTTGCAAAATATTAACACGCCTCTTCATCTATGTAACAAAACAAGGCAATTTTTGAACTTTGATGTGACTGTTAGTCTCCCCAAAACATTGAAAATGAAAGATGCATTATAAAAAATCAGCAAACAATTTGACATCTGCATTTATGCTGTGTTTGGATGGAGGATTTGGGAAGGGATTTGAAAATGAAAAGAGAAAAAGTGTGTGAAACTATGTGAAATATAGACATGATTTATTCACATTTCATTTACTTTTTCCATTTCCCCTTCCAAATCTCTTCCCAAATCCCCCAACCAAACACAGCATTAGTAAATATTTAGAAATCCATCCTTTGATAATGTTGGAACTAGCCCACAAGGAGTAGAAAGGCCAAACCATCACATGGGATTTGTTTCATTCGATTTCCAAAGCCCTTTAAATAAAAATTAAAAAAAAAAAACTAATGCCATTCTTATTCGGATGTAAAATCCTTAATATCACGAAGCTAGCATGCAAGCTAAAGAATGTCATCACTCAAAATTTACAACACTATACAAGCTCAAAGTAGTAATAGTAGTGTTTCAAAAAGCTACTACACAATTGTAAAGATGAATGGAGAAAGCTCCAGAGAGTTAAGTTACTGGTTGTGTTCTTCCATAGGAAGTTCCATTTGGGTTGAAATTATTCCCACTCAATTGAAAGTAGGCCATAGCAGCCCAAATCACACGTAGGAGTAGGATTACCACAAATACAGTGCCTCCGATGGTGCACGCCACCTACAAACCACATTCATCACCATGTAATAGCTCAGTTCTCTTGCTTTGTTTTAAACCACCAATATGCTCAAGGTTATATACTAATAAGAAATGAAACCAACAATATTAAAATATATAAGGATGCTATATAATTTTGAAATTTTGTAAGCTAATAACTTTTCCCAAGCACCGAAAAAAAATAAAAATAAAAATCTGTAAGCTAATGTTGATTCACTCAACTTTTAAAGATTTTTGTACGTGTTAATAGAACAGACAAAAATATTAAAACTCAAAGAATGTATTACCATAATTGAAAAAGGAAGCCACTTTCAATCGTATCTTTGCATAACAAAATAAAAGGGACAATTATAAAAAAAATAAAAAATACCCAATGTTTGACCATTATGACAAAATAAACCTTGAGTTTTTAATTTTGTCAATTTAAACCTTAATCTTTTGATTTGTTTTCAATCTAAACCATTTATCTATTTTCGTTAACTAAAAACAATGACAAAAATAGTATTTTAGTCATTCAACTCAATGTATACATAAAATGTTTAAAATATCTATTTTTATTGAGTTTAATGACTAAAATATTCACTTTTCTGTTGATTTTACTTAACAAAAATAGACAAATAGTTCAGATTGAAAATAAATCAAAAGTCCAGAGTTTAAATTAACAAAATTAAAAATTTCGGGTTTATTTTGTTACAAATGACAAACTCTGAGTTTTTTCCCCCCCTAAATAAAAAATAAAAAATAGGAAAAGAAGAAGCATAGGAAGCCATTACAGTTTTTATGATGGAGATTGTTTTAAAGTAAGAAAAATGAACAAGTCATAATATCATAAGAGATTTCCCTAGTGATCTCAAATTCATGTATATGTGCAGTGTCTTACTTGGAACAGCAACCAGAATCTCCAATTTTTTTCCCCTTTTCTTCTTGTTCTTTGTTTTTCTCTTTCATTTTCCAGTTTAGTTGTTTTTACAATAACCTAGCCCTCAAACAACCCACCTTCTCCCCTAGGGAAAATAAAATTCAAACTCTACCAGTAGTTTAAGAAAGACCTAATGGACCTAAAGGCAGAGCAATACCTCAAGAAGGGCCTTCAGGATAGAAAGTGAAGCCAAAAGAAGTACCCCGTCAACTGCAAAAGAGACCTGTATTCCCCAAATGGAGAGAGAAGGTGAGAGAGAGACAATTGACTAGCTAGTTAAAACAGCCAACAAAAACAAATCATAATTTTGTATTGCTAAAAGCAGCATGAAATCCACTCATTTTTAAAAAAAAAAAATAAAAAATAAAATAAAATAAACCTTTACAGGAAAGGAACAACATGGTAAAGGCAGGTTACATTATTAACAAGTAAAAGCCATGATTCATCTCAAGCAGTTACTGTTAGTCTAGCAAAACAATAAACACGAAATTGACCACAAATATCGCGATAACAATGATAAGAAATAATAATATAGATAGACAAAATAAGAGTAGAGAACAATAGTTGTGTGAGTTTGGGAATTGTGTTGTCATTGCCCTAAAATTGCTTTTCCTTCCCTCATTAAGGTACAACCGGAGTGAAGCAGTTCCAAGATAGAAATCAGTTTACTCACAACATCTCTCATCCAATCTCCATGACCACAAGGAAGCTTGAACCAGGTCATGAACCAAAGTTGCCCAAAACAATATATAAAAACATATAAAATGTAGAGAACTCTCTCTAGAACCTTTCATTTTGAAATCACCTTTCTTCTATTTCTCCCTTTAGAAAACCATATATATATATATGTCTTTTTTGAGTCAAACCACTTAATACCACAATTAGGAATAATAATACTAATAACTATTAAAATGGTTTTTTGGAATTACACACATTATGTATAAGATTTATATTTGTAATAATGGTGAATATAATAAATGTATTAAATATAATATTACTTTTTTATTAAAACAACCTAACAGTTACAAACATCATGAAAGCTGGTTTGATCTCACAAAAAACTGCCTGTGCACGATGGAATTTTACATCTAGATAATCATGAACAATTTCGAACAAGACCCAAAGTAGTAACAGATTGCATGAATGCCATTATGAAAGTATATTCAAGGAAATTATGTGAAGGGTGGTGTGTTTTCAAGGAAACAACCATCTCATAAACATGTCTCATTGATAAAACTCTCATTAGCACTTGCATGATTTTATGATTGAAGGTATTGGCCCATACTTCCAAGGCACCATGTATCATGATAAACACACTGCCAGAATCAAGCCCATTAGTTTTGTGAAATAGCGTCTGCCTCCGTTAGATTCATAATTTTAAAATTCCATGCGGAAGTCTTATTTTGGTTAAATTGGAGTCATCCAATTTTCACCTATGGAAATATCAAGTCACTGCAGTTCTTCAGGCATATGATCTTCTCAAGTTTGTTAATGGAACAAATCCATGTCCAAAGAGATATCTCAGAGATGACAGTGGCAAGTTAACTAATAGTGAGAATTCTGAATTTCATCAATGGAATATTACAGATCAAGCTTTGTTGAACTTGCTTTGGTTGTTGGACAACATAATTCTCGAGGTGTTTGGAGTTTACTTGAATGAAGATTCTCATCTTCATCAAGAACTCGGGTTCTCAATCTCAAGACTGAACTTGGGAACATCAGAAAAGGTTCAGAATTAATAAATCAGTACTTTCAATGCATCAAGGAGTTGTGTTAAACTCTCCGTTGTTTTTGTTGTTATTGATGATCAAGAATTATTTGCAGTAGGTACAAGCTTGATCAGGGGAGCGGGTGTTTCAGTTTAGAAGAGCCTTATATGAATGGGAGTCCCAGGAGGTCTTGAGATTATCTACTCTTACTGATATTGCGCCTGCAATTCAGAACAACCAGTCTCACAGCTGTGTGGATAGCCTCAGCCTCTTCCTCAGGTGTGTACTTTGTGGCCTCTGCTTATAAAGCTGAAGAGGATTACCTTGGTCCCAAGCTCATTACTAGTAGGTTGGTGTGGATTAAGCACATTCCTCCAAAAGTTCAATTTTTTGGATGGTTGGCATGGAAGAATAGGGTTAAGACTGTTGAGTATCTGCATAGAATTGGTATCCTTCAAGGTAATGAACCTGACGTGTGTTTTGTAAGGCAGATTGCGAAACTTTGAATCATGTGCTGATCTTCTGCCCTTTCTCCTGGCAAGTTTGGATGGATATACTTAGCTGGTGGGATGTTTAAGGAGCCTTGCCAGGTTCAGTTGAAGAGGTGCTTCATTGGTGGTCTGGGGGTTGTGTTCAGAAGGAGAAGCTGATCTGAAGTGCTTCCCCTTTATCTGTGCTTTGGTCCTTGTGGAAGCTAAGGAATGACTGTCTGTTCAGGGACTCTACCAATGTTGTGAAAGGCGCACCTAGGCGCAAGGCGCATCGAGTCGCAGCCTGTGCACCTGAACTGGTGCCAGGCGAGGCGAGTTGAAGAAGTCGTGCGCCTTAGGCGCGACTGGAAGCAGGCGAGAGAGGCGCAAGGCTCACGCCTAGGTGGATTGATGATTTACGCCCTAATTTTGATCTAACGGCTGTGGTGGTGTGTGTTCGAATGACTCTAACACAGAGGATTACAACTTATATACAATACGACTTCGACTGAAATGAAATAAGACTGAAACGAAATCCCTAACCTAATCTGTGTCAACTTCGATTCAACTTCCTCTCTCGACTTCGATTCGACTTGGACTTCCTCTCTCGACTTCGACTTGGACTGGCTGGGCTACGACTTCGACTTCGTCTTCCTCTCTCGACTTCCAAGTCTGTGTCGCTTTTTTTTTCTTCGACTTCGATCGTCTCTCTCTTTCGCTGATTCTGCTCTGCTCTGTTTTTTTTTTATTATTATTATTATGCCTTTGAGTCTTTGTTAAAAAAAAATAATAATAAATAAATAAATAGAATAATTTAAACAAAAAAAAAACAAATTACATTAATTAGAATAATTTAAAAAAAAAAAAATAGACACATTACATTATTTTCTAAATTTAATAAACACATTACATTACATTAAAAAAATAATTTTCCATTAATTAAACTCCAAACTTACAAACTTTTGCCATAAAAGTCCTTAGCCTAACGTGTAGTTCATCGGGTTGTGAACGAAATTGGAGTGTATTTGAACATGTGAGTATTTAACATTCTAACTAATTTTTTGTTCAATTCAAATATTTTTTATTCTCATTATATAGAATTTAATATCTTTTTAATACTTGCAACTTCATAGCAAGAAAAGAAATAGATTGGAACAACAACGTCTCAATGATTTAGTGTATGTCAAATACAATAGAACATTGAGATTTAGGTATGACATGCGCAACACTCTTGATCCCATATCTTTGCAAAATATTGATGAAAGCAATGAGTGGTTGCTTGGGAGGATGGATGGAGAATCAGATGAAGATAATGAGCTTGTGTTTGATGATGATGATGGCTTGACGTGGGCCACTGTTGCTAGAGCTTCTGGAGTAGAAGAAAGTAGCCATGCAAGTAGAGCAACAAGTTCACGCTCAAAGGCACAACCGATGATATCTAAATCATCAACATTGACTCCACTTCAATTAATAGATGAAGAGGAAGCGGGCTCAGATGACACAGAGGAGGAAGATGTTGAGGGATACAAATCAACTGATGGAGAAGAAGATGATAGTTTGCTTGCCATTGATGTTGAGGATGATGATTGACTGACCGACCGACCTAACCTACCATTTCTTTTGATGTTGATGTTTTTAAGTGTTAAGACATATTAGTATATGTTGGATATTTATGTTTTGGATATTTAGTGTTTATGTTTATGTTTATGTTTTTGGATGTTTGAAATGTTATGTAATATGTACTTTCATGACTTTGAGAATTATTCTATATTTTGCTTTGAATGTTGATTACCTTTTATTTTTAAAAAAATTGTCTTAGTACTATGAATGATTAGTCTATGTTAATTTTGCTATTTTTTACTAAGACTGTGCGCCTTACTTCAATAAAGCCCGCGCCTCACCTTGCGCCTTGCGCCTAGGCCCCGAGAGACCTTCAGCGCCTTAGTGCGCCTTGAGCTTTTAAAAACACTGGACTCTACTCCCAATTTGGCTGAGGTCTGTGAGTTAATCAAGATCAGAATTGCTATGTGGGTTAATCTGAAGTTCAAAGAGTATCATTTCACAATCAATGACTTTGTGTTTAATTCAGGCATGTCAGAGCCTGCCTTGGGCATAGGGTGGTGGTGGCTGTCTAGATTGATTTTCTTTGGCTGACAGTTGTGGGTGTCAATTCTTGCTATGGAATTTACTGTGTTGTGTCTGTTGGTTGGTTGCTCACCAACCTTGAGGTGTGCTAGCAGATGATTTTGCTAGTTCTACGCTGCCAACTTGGTTGGGATTATAGAGCTGGTTGTGATGCTTTTTGCACCCTCCCTTCTTTATTGATGTATCTCTTTTGATTATTATCAATAAAGTTTCTTTTGTTTGTTCAAAAAAATTGATGATGAGGGATTACTTCATATAGCTTTGAAAGGGCTACCTATCAAATATAAGGCATTCTGTTCTTCAAATTATCGTTATCGTTTTAACAATCAAGGTTGTAGAAGATCTCAATCCTCAAATTTCAATCAAGGTATAATAACAGAGGCCGAGTGAGATTTGCTTCCTCTTCTCATTATGACAACAATCAAGGAGGTATTTCATCTCAATATAGGCCCATCTCTACACAACTAGATCAAACACTTTTCACAACGATTCCAAACCTGTTTGTCAAATATATTTTGAACATACAGCCTTGGATTGCTATCATAGGACGAACTATGCCCATTAAGATAGAACTCCTCCAGCCAAACTCTCTGCTATAGCATCAGTTTCCAACAACAGATCTCATGCACATGCTCCAAACAATAATTAGCTCACAGACATTGGGGCAACTAACCACATTACATCTGATATGTCAAACCTCTCTCTTGGCCATGAGTTTATTACAGGCACTGACAGAGTCTCTATTGGAAAAGGTCAGGACTTGCCAGACAATATTCTCAAAGTTCCTCTTATTTCATACAATCTACTTTTTTTCATAAACTATGTAAAGGTATTATTTTTCCTTTTATTTTGATGATCATCACTTTACTATTCAGAACAAGATTACAGAGAAAGTCCAAGGGCCTGAGTAAAGATAGACTTTATCCCCTCAATGCTTGTCATCCATCTTTTCCCGCACAGTCCTCATCTTCTACTACAATTGTTACTGCCAATATTGGTATCAGTAGGACTCCTATTGTTCGAACACCCCTATATTTCTATTCATATTGTTTCTTTGTCTGCAACAACTATTGATTTTGTATTGTGTGAACATTGCCTTCATGGCAAAATGTCACAACTTCCATCTAAGAATTCATACACTAGAGCTAGTACTCCTTTGCAACCCATTCATAGTGATGTATGGGTACTGCCCTAATTACTTCCATTGATGGCTATAGGTATTATGTTTCATTTGTTGATGACTATAGCAGAGTCACTCAGATTTTTCCATTAAAACATAAATATGAAAATTTTCTTTTTATCATTTTAAAGCTTATGAAGAAATTTTTCTCTAATGCCCATTTATGTGCCCATTAGTTTGAGGGGATGTTAAACCAAAACTGTATTGATAGAATAGTGATAACTGGATTTGTAGTTATAACTAAATCTAGGCCAGCTGTCATAGTTACTTGAGGGATCATTACACAGAGTGTAGGGGTTGTTGTGTAGAGCTTGTTTCTCTATATAGGGACGGTTGAGATTGTATTCTGATGATGAAATCAAATAATGTATAGCTTACGGTTTTCTTTTGATTGATTCACATTCTTCTTCTTTTCACTCTATTCTGTCTTGCAGTCTTATCAAATCTTTCATAAACTACCACAGCCCCCTTGCACTGGAAATATAAAATTAATAGCACACCCTGGCATTCGGTATACTTCTGTTGTTTCACTCAGCCCCTATGCTCTTGAAACAAAATTTCATTTTCTAAATGTATTTGACCCAGAGTAAATTCATATCCAGGCAAAACTAAATTCCATCTTCCAATTGTAGATCAGGATGAAAATCCTTTTTCATCAATTAATTTATTCATTTTGAATTCATTACTCTAAGGCCTTGTTTGATTAGGAGGATTTTAATAGTGAAGGGATTAACAATCCATGGGATTAATGTAGAATTAGTTATCCAGCTGGATTAGTGGGATAAACAATTCCCTCATATCCATGTTTATTTTGCAATGAATATGGAAATATACAAATCCCAATTATATGTTTGTGTTCCATTATTACTCTAAGGCCTTGTTTGATTAGGAGGATTTTAATAGTGAAGGGATTAACAATCCATGGGATTAATGTAGAATTAGTTATCCAGCTGGATTAGTGGGATAAACAATTCCCTCATATCCATGTTTATTTTGCAATGAATATGGAAATATATAATCCCAATTATATGTTTGTGTTCCATTATTAGTTGTAAAATTAAAAAATCCACCAATTTTGTTGGATAAAATGTCCATCAATATCTAATCAGAATAACACTAAATTGCAACCAAACATTAGAATGTAAGTTACATGGATTAATAATCCTAATGCAATGCCAAAATTTGCCTAATCAAACAAACCCTAAATGAAGGTGTGTATCCCTCTATTGGCTCTCAAAAGGGATATTTATGAATGTTTACCCTCGCACAATCCATCCTTAAAAGGGTATAATTCAATGAATATACTGTACGGAATTTGGAGGGCGGAAATGCAAAGGAGGCCTAAAAACAAATTTCCCCTTTTTGATTATTTCATGTAAAGATTCAGACTCACTCATAAGCCTTCACAAAAATTAAAATGATTTCAAATATAATGGGTAAGAACCACAATAGATGAGAACAATTCAAATATAATATAAATGTGCTTACAAACCAAATTCCAATTAGAGACTTACATGTAAGTTTTAATAGGTAAACTTATTATTCAATAAGTCTTATAATAATTAATAATGTTTTTCATAAAATACTATTAAAAAAAGTCACTAATTATTAATTTTCAGCGACAGTTTAAAAATTGTTACAAAAAATGTCACTAATTATAAGTTTTAGAGACAATTTAAAAATATTGTCACAAAAAGACACTAATTTTCAACTTTCAGTAACATTAAAAAATTCGTCTAAGAAAAACGTCATTAATTATAAGTTTTAACATAATTTATAAAAGTTCTGGCCAAAAAAATCAATAATTGTTAATTTTTAACAACATACGTAAAAAATAGTCACAAAAAATTATTTTTATCACCACATTCAATATTCAAGAAGCTAGAGACAATACGCTCAGAAAGAGAGAGAGAGAGAGAGAGAGAGAGTAGAAAGTATACCAGCTGAGGAGGAATGACAGCAGGCAAGACAGAACGAGAGGCCTTTCGAACACGCTTGGAGAGCTTCTTAAACATGCTTTGGAGAAACCTGAATAGCAAATCGAGACTGCTCTCCGTATCATCATCTTCATCGCTCTCTTCTTCTTCTTCGCCGATCACATTGTCATTATTATACGAGAAAGCTTCATCAATTTCCTCCAATTCTTCTTCACCAATCGAACCCTTCAATTGAGAACTAACATAAATCTAGGTCGCTTCCAAAATTAACAGAAAAATATGAATACTAGGGAGAGTAACCTTTGAGCGATGAGTGCTGATAAGCCTCGAGTTTCCATTGAACCTGGTTCTGAAGAAGTGGTGACGAAGAACTAGTGATTGAGGAGGGAACGAGAGAGGCCGAGAGGGTGAGATGGTGTTGCGAAGATTGGTACATGTGAGGCTGATGTAGGGCGATACTGTCGCAGCCCCCGCCATTCGATTAGGAAGAAGATTCGAGAGTTGGGAGTATCAAGCCCCAACTGAGGGAGTTAGGAGCAATGCCAAAGAAAAGGGAGTTATGATGTGCTGCACCAAATAATTTCAATTTTATCCTCAAAATATTTTAAAATCATATCAATTTATTCCTTGAATAATGCTTGGGACCTCCTTTTGGGTCACCCCTCACCCCCCCATTGGCCACGTGGCGGGTGGTGATTGAAGGAGAAGGAAAAAAAAGAAAAAGAAAAAGAAAATGTAACCAATGAGAGAGAGAGGGGGTCAAAGGGGTGGGAGAAAAGGGGATGAATCATTGTTGTTATTCCTTATCCTCAAATTTAAAAAGAAAAAATAAATGAAAAATTAAATTTTGACATCAAATTTTAAAAGAAGTATACAAACTCACCATCTCTTCTTCTCTCTCATCATTCCCTAAATTATTCAAATCCCTCTACTACCCTTCCCCGTCATCTTCCACAAACTTCTCTGCAAGTCCTCCATTATGTGGATCATTTTTGAGTTCGAATCATCCAAGGGTCATTGTAGGTTTTTTTTGTTAGTTAGGCCTCGTTTGGGAACAGGTTAATTTAGTAATTTTTTTGACTATTTTGTTAAAAAAATAGGTAAAAAAAACTTATATGTTTGGGATGATTTTTTGGCTAATTACGAAAAGATGTGCAAAAAGTAGAGAGAAAAGAGAATCTTTGACTTTTTTGTATGAGTTGTTGGCTTTTTAACTAAAAATGTAACTTTTTGACTTTTTAACTAAAAAGGTAAGTCCCTGAAGGACTCTGGATACCCAATTATCTCAAAAAAAAATAAATAAAATAAAATAAAATAAGAAGAAAAAGCTTGAGAGATAGAAAAATAAAAACATCTCTTAGGGATATGTTATTGCAGCCATGATTTGATATTGTCTTGTACCTTGATGTTTTTCTATTGTCCTATAATCTTCGTTCCCTTTATATTTTTAATAAAATTCTGATAAAAAAATTGAAAAAAAAACTAATTCACTTGATTGCAATCCATTCTTCCTTTATATTTTAATATTTTTCTCTCTTTTTTATTTGCTATTCATTAGTCCTAACAATTTAATCACGCATACGGTTTGACTCGTTTTAACTGATTGCTTGTCAAATTCTCACTCAAAATTTTATCTAGTAATAAGTGTATGCACTACAACAAATTAAAACTTTAATGATAAAATTAAAGGACAAAATCACTTTTTATGGACGAAATATGTTTGCCGTAAAAAAATGTCATGATTATATTTTTAGTGATGAAATTGGATATTAGTAATAAATTATTATCATTCACATAATAATGTCTCAAAAAGTAAACTTTTTTGGCAAAAAATTATTTTCTTCAAAAATATATTTATTAGCGACATTTTCAATTTTTTTGTCACTAAAGGTCATTTATTTTTAATTTTGGGATTTATTATTATTATTATTATTTTTAATGATGATTCATATGATGAAAGGAATTGGTCTCCTAATATTTTTTTGTAACAAATTAATTTTTTACTTTTAGATTAAAAAATTTAATTTTAAAACTCTAATATGTTATAATCCATTGATCATAAACAAATTAAATCATAACTAACACTATTTTAAAACATAATCAAAACCCACTTTGATTATAACTGAAAGTACCACAATAGGGGTCATGGCCGCCAGTAATGGCGCTTTAGCTTAGTTTTGGAATTCCGTCAGAAGTTGACCTAGTTTTGGAAATAGAATGGAAAAAAGGCTTATATTGGGAAAAGCCTCCTAAAACCCTCACAGACTTAAAAGTGTCATATTTAACATGCTTTGGATGTAAAGATACCTTACCCAGTAGTCCACAAGCATTCTTGTACTGGCATCCTTGATGATGCTTTAAGATTTGCTAGAACCCTAGCTCCATTTCCTTTTGGGCGAAGTCTAATCATTGAGAAACCAAATGACATTTTTCCAATAATGTTTCTAGCTGATGCATCATCTAATGGACAATAGTTCGATCATTCAAGTTCATAACCATCCTCATGATATTTTTTGTTATTATTTTCATCTATGCACTTGGTATGATGAACTTTTTTTCTATTTACAAATAACAACACAATAAGAAACAATGATGCTGATGATAATAGTGAGTTTTGATGGAATGGATTGGAATTTTGGAGTGAGAGAGAAGATGAAGATAAAAGAATTGAAACTTCAAAAAGAAGATGAAGAGACTTGAATATGAATAATACATATAAGTGATTAGGGTATACCATGACAAAAAAAAAATAATATTTCATTTTAGAGTTTAATGTATATTGTCCTTATTAGTAAATTTACATTAGGATATAATATGAAATAAAATTTTAAAATTTTAATTAAGTGTACTGAGTTATTTTTTTGGTGCAAATAAAATCACCCAGACGAACCAATTTTATTCAATTTTGGGTAAATTTTGAGCCAGTCCTACCTATAGGCCATGTTTGTTATCCCCCATCAGTGGTGGGATTGGACTGATAGTGAGGTTGGAACTTTGAAAGCATATTTATTATCCCACATCAATGGTGAGATTATTTATTCAGCCAGATTAGTAATCCCATTGCACAGCAGGATTATCAAAGCTGGTGAGAGTATAGGATTAGAAAAATAGTAAGGGGATTGGAAAAATAAGTGTATTCTTTTTTCTTTTTTTTAACCCAAGTGCAGCCTGTTATTTGTAAAAAAAAAAATTATATTTGCTTTAGAATTTTTTTTTCATATAGAAATATATATATTTTTATTTTATATAACAATAATTTAACAATCCCATCACTAACCATCTCACCCACTATCATCAAAACAAATGCACTTTTACTTAATCCCCTCACTAACAATCCTCACATTAATAATCTCTTCACTAACTATCCCCTCACTAACAATCCTATCCAACCTAATCCGCCAAACAAACGTGGCCATAGGGTCTTGTTTTATTTTTTTTTAGGTCTTGTTTGCGAATAAATTATTTTAATAATTTTTTACTTAAAATATGAGATAAAAAAAATTAAAATATGTTTTGGAATGACTTTTTTACAGTGTTTATTTTTTTGGATAATTTTTTGTTTTTTGTTTTTTGCTTTTATAGTGACTTTTTTACTTTTAGGCTCAGCACTTCCCAAACGAGGCCTTTATGTACCAATAAATTCTAAAAACAACAATGATTCATCCCACTAAAAACATCACCACTAATAGCACTAATGCATTAAAAAAGTTATAAAAAAAAAAATACAACTCCAAGACCAAAACATCACATCATTAATGGCGGGACCCACTGCCACCTAATTAGTGGGAGCACTAA